GAACTCAAGAAACTTGATTTGGAAGCCCCTAGGATAAAAAAAATGGGCTTTATAATCCCATTTGCACAAGCCATGATATAAAATAGTTTGAAAAAGGACTTGTGATCAATTAGAATAAGAAAGATTCTTTGGTTGGCAGCAATAATCCATCTTTCTATTTCTTTCAGTCAATCACAGAATCACAGAATGGTTGAGGTTAGAAAGTACCTCTGGAGGTCATCTGGTCCAACCCCTCTTGGGTTGAGATCAAGCAGGGCCACCTAGAGCCAGTCGCCCAGGAGCATGTTCAGACAGCTTCAAGGTTGCTAGGAGGTATTAAATCACTAGTAACAATTATCATTTACTTAAAGAAAGAAAACTATCCAATCATGGAGCTAAAAAGTTTTATGAGGTGAGTGACCATATACGTAATGACTATTTGAAGCAATTGTCAGACTTTGCAAGGAATTATTAAGTTGAAATTTATTTGAAAAAAAGCCTTATCTGAATAATTATATTTTGAACTACATATGTAAATGGAAGATGAGGCATAATCTGTCAGTTTTAATCTAATACAAGTTAAATATACTGATTAAAGTCTACATATTTTAATATTGTTTTATGGTTGCTCAAAATTACTAAAACAGTCTTCCACATCTACCACAGCTTGTAATGTCATTTTCAGTACATTTTATTTGATAGTTATTTGCTGGTGTTCTTAAAAAATAAATGTAATCTGAAGAATTCGCTGTTTTACTAAATCCTCTAAAGATTTAACAGCCCACACTGTGGCCATGGACAACATGAATATATTCACAGTGGTAGGTCAAGCATATTTTACATTCTGTTGAATGGGTCTAGAAATCCATATTGAATTAATGAGTTGAAATACCATGTCTTTGGCATAGAATCTGATTTACTAAAGTATCATTTTTAATCTTGGAGAAAATAAAGTAGGTTAAATTCAGAACTTTGAACTTCTAATGTGGGTAGGACAGAAGTATTCCATTTTTTGTTTCTGTGATGTTTTTTAAGCGAATAAGACATTAAACTAAACTTCCATTATTTCTGTTGCAGAAATAGTTAGAAAGTAATTAGAAAGCATAATAATTCATGTGAGAACAATAGATTATTAGAATAGCATCTTGACTGCTCAGATGCCAAATATTACTGAAGAACTTCGTACAAAAGAGAGAGATGAGAAAGTATTACGAAAAAGGCCAGGCAGCAACGAGAGAGTGGCCTTTCCCTTCCACAAATACACACACAGTAGATGCTATGGAAGACGAAAGAAGGAAAAGGATCTACCTGTTTCAGTGGATCACCTGTGGCACAGCCTCCAAGAAAGGGAGAAGCAGCAGCAGGTAGCAGAGCTTACTGTAGATTTTTATAAACACTTGGTAAACAGCTGTGATTTTATGCTGATACTACTCGACCAGAGCAAGTGGGTCAGCTAAAATTCCCCTGTACTCTGCAGGGTACAAGCTGCTGAAATTTATCATTATTACGTTTTTTATCTCATCCTAGTGCAGAAAAGAAAGACAAACTATTCCTCTACCTTGCCATAGAGTAGCAGAATAACTTCATTAACTCCTGGTTTTGTCAAGTTTCAGATCTGAGCAGATCATGGGTTTGTGATTACTGTTCCATCGACAAAAAATGGACTTCAGAGTATATGAAATTATTTTCTTCAATAAAACATCATGACAAACCCACAGTCTTCTAACATAATGTTCTGAACCTCCGCAGTATGCTCATCTTCAGCAGCAGAGCCTCTGCAGCGCACGCCAGGACATAGCTAACTCCTGATCTGAGACACCGATGGCGATTGGTGTTCTGTTTTCTACCTGTGTTAGCAGGAAACCTAATTGCCAGAGACATGCGTTAGTGTATTTAAGTTTGGGACTCAGTCAGAGGTCTCTGAACAAAATTATCTGTCCTGAGATGAACAGGCAGTCATATTAGGTGATCTGATAGTCTGCTCTGGCTGTAAACTATGAAACCTAAGACTTGAATAAACAATTCCCGTTAGGCTCTTAGCACTATTAAAAAAAAAAAAAAAATTACTTTGTATCTAACATACTTTCTGCACTAGAGGAAAACATAACTGCTAAGAACACACATTGTATAACTTAGGCAACAGCCACCATTAGTCCAAAGCCTTTCAGACAATGCCTGGAACTTGCACAGTTGTTGCATCTGGCATGCATCACACAACCCATTGCGTGTGTTGTGCTGTGAAAAACTGGAGACGCAGTGGAATTAGAATTGGCCACAGCCAGGAAAATAGCTCAAGTTTTGTGCAGTAGGCAGAGTAGAATTACCTTTAATGTTGCTTCAAACACAATGCTTATACCTCCCAAACAGAGCGACTGGTATTCTGCAAAATGTGTTACCCCTACCAGCTAAATTAACCTAACTTTAACCACTGTCATTTAATTCTCATCATTTTCTTCAGATTAATTTAGGCAGAAGAATTTAAAACAGCTACAAGCTGTTAGAAAAACATTGTTTCGTAATTTAAACACCACCACATTATATAGCAATCGGGAGTCGTCATTCGGGAAAGTACCAGACACAGTTATGAAAAACAGTTTGCAGAGCTTTACAGAAAATAAAAATACTATATGCCACCGTTCATTGTAGTTCCTGGTCTAAGCTATTAAGAAGTCTCAACTTGATATCTCATGTGCACTATTTTTCTCTAAGAATAAAGAAGAGAATTATTAAATCAAAATCAAGTATCATCATAAGTCATTGTTAAAGAAATCTGCATAGCCACAAAACTGGCAGTTTCTGCAGTGTGCTATAATATGGACAGAATTTCTATATTCACAGCTTTAATTTTCTGAAGAAGTAAAATGAAGTATTTCCCACTAGAAATATCTGAAGAAAAACCCTGCTTAAAATATGATGTATTAATGTAAAAAATCTTAAAAACCCCAAATTTATAAAAAAATATTAAAAACTGTAAAAAGGAATTTTTTCATCATTATTTGAGCTCTATGCAATATACATTATAATTTGCCTGTACCCTCAATGGTGACTGGAAATAGCTTATGAAATACACCAATGTTATCAACCTCACATTCAGACTTTCTTGTAATCCTAAATCAAATAAATAATGTATGCAGGACATGATGTCCAACAGACAAAGTTTATGGCTTTAGATCATATTTCAGAGTGGCATGAAACTCCAATTTATCATCAGTCTTCCACTTCACCATATAGAAAATGTTAACCTCTGTGACATTTTCACAGAACACCTATGCAAGGTTAACAAAAGAATTAAATAATTTCATTAATTCGTATTACTCCTTTTTGAAATCAGTTCTGGTAAATACATTATAAACTTTATTTTTCTTATATATCTTCTTCTAAGCTAATTTACTGTATTTTTGGCAGTGCCACTTCACAAAAACTTGGAGAGTAGCTAAGAAAAATCAAGCTTCAGGTGATTGCCAAAATCAGGCATTAAAAAGGAAAGACAACCAGTACTTTGGTTTTTTGAGTTACTGCCAGGAAGAATTAGAAATTAGTATCAGAGTCAGACTGAGGTTGTAGACTTCAGATTTGAACTGGAACTTCCCACTGCCCTTCACACAATCACCTGTCAACTACAGAAAAGAATTGTAGAAAAACTGATTTGTAGAATATCTTCCCCTGTTAGAAAATGGATTTGTGATATTTAAGAATTATTTGCACCTCATACATTTCTTAAAAGTGATAGGATTGATAACATCTGGAGCAAGCCTCAGTGAAGAAACAGGAAGGTACAACTTTCTACTCATGCTCATTTCAGCATAGGCACACCTATGGAAAAAAAAAAAAGTAACCAGAGGTCTTGTGATAATTTAATACCTTTTTCATTTTCCTAGCAGCAAGCATCATAGGAAAGTTAAGCAAATTTTGTGTTAGGACTATAAAACTGAAATATTAAGAAGAAAAAATGTTCTTAATGTTAAGACCATTGCTTTGGTTTTAGACAGCAAAGCAGTTGTAAAAGCAATAACTATTTTTGAAGGTATCAAAGGAGTTTAAGCTTATTAGGATGTTATATGAAGCTAAAGCACAAAGATAATGTCAATATCATTTAGATGTACTAAACTAGCCAGACGAGCACAGAATTGTTGTGTGTTAGAATGGCAGGCTGCCCATTCCGTACAGACAGCCTTGGATTCAGGGTGTCACTTCTAAGAGAACAGATGCACTGCATCCATGCAGTGCAAGGCAATACAGAGCAGGTTAAGTGCAGACACTGTAATCCAGGGTCTTTATCCTCCTGTGTCTTTTGAGAAAGGTACAAAGAACAAGATTGCATGTCAATATATGTAGTGGTAAAAGGCAGACAGAAAAGACACTTCTTAATCCAGTTTGGGGCTCAGACACTGACAAAAGATATCCTCCTATACCATCAGGCTTGTGTTTTCCTGGTAGAAGACAGCTTTGGATACCAGAGCGGATGAACCTGTTTTTTATCCAACCATTATATTTTGCATCAACTATTCCATAAAGCAGCTATTGCTTTAGCGTGTGTGCAGTAAGAAGCATAGAGGCTATTTTTTCTTCCTGAGTTCCACACAGAAATCTGTCTTTAACAATTCACTTTCAGAGATACCCAAGTTAGATATATCTGCCTAGCTCACAGTGCTTACTGCAGAATGCAAATGAACGCAGAGAAATTTTCCTGTGTTTCCTAAGACAAGTCTACTTTAAATCTTTAGGAGGACACAGGGTATCACATTGCCAAACAATTCTGAGCCTCAGCAATAACTGCAAGTTCAAATACTGAGGCTTGGCAAGAAATCATTATCTTTTCAACACACTCTCTCAACAACAATTGTGTAATGTTTATAAAGGGGTGAAAGTGCCTGGATTTTAGTGAGCTTTTGTTCCTGCCATAGTTCACAAAATTTCATTACCTCTTCTCTGTGAACCATTTCCACACTAGGTCTAACAATGATCACTCACATCTAACTCCCGCACTCCAATTGTCCTAAGAATGCTACAAACTACTGACCTTACCCTAAACCCATCTGATTGCAGGCCAGTTGGCTTAAATTTTCTTGCCACTCATCAGCACAAACATGGTTATCAGCAGCTGACCTGTGAATGGTCAGGAACATCAAGGAATTCATGTTTTTAGACAGGGTAACTGCAAGAAAAAGAAGAACAACTTCACTATTATTTCACATAGTTAGTTTTGTAAATGCCATACTGAAAACATACAACTACATTCAAACGAGTTTTCGAAGATGCTGGAGCTTTTGCTGATTTTATATGCTCAATAGCTATGTAATTTAAAACCAAGGCAACCATGGCTATCAGAACCTTGCTAACACTGAACAGCAGGAGACACTAAACAACAAAGACATCTTGAGGATTAGAATAAACGAGAATACTCTTGACTCACCAGCATCGGTTCACATGTGTTTCTGATAGCCTTAATCTTGTTAAATGATCTTTTACCCCACAAATAGCCCAACTGAAATCACTAGAGTAATTTGTGGGATGAATGCTGCCTGACACAAGAGTGATACCACCATTTGACTCCTGGTAATATGCACTGATCCTGTCATAACAGTATGTGGATGTAATTGGAGAAAGAAAAAACAACTACTGTTTACAAGAAACATGATGACCATTGCTTCTCTCTTAATCCATGTGTAAGTGTGTGAACTGCTTTTATCACACACAAAAAGCTTCTCAAAATGGCCCAAAATGGAAATTTACATCCCTCCCTTTCTAGGATCCCTTAAAGGAGGTTGGGTTGTATGTATTTCCTCCCCAAATACATACTGGTTTTACTTCAACTGTTCCTCTGACTTTTGCTTTGATAGTACTAATCTTAAAATAGCCAGTCATTATGCATTTTTGCTATCTGCTGAAGCTTTTGCTTCTCTCCCCATGAGAAAGGTATATATTAACCTAGAACAATTATTCTCTGTTGCACAGGTTTTATTAAATGTTGTTGTTTATTAATGTTCACAAACGTTAAAGGTTTTAAAATATTTATACAATCTACTTCAATATGATTACAAAATATTCCGTAAGCCCTGGTACACCTCTTTTTCTGTATTTAAAATTACATACAAAGCATCTCAAAACTTAGTACCATAAACTACTGTCATGTACAGAAACACATGTTAACTCAGTGAAATCTCAGAGGACATACTACCACTTTCCAACCTGTTTCTTTTCAGTGCAATATTTTTGAAATCCACTTTCATTTTTATTTGAAGAATAATACCTGGAGAGTTCTGCTTTAGCAACACATGAAAGCATAAGGCCTAATCTGAATATAGACAGCAATACCTGGTTACATCATCGTGCAGGTCTTTAGCCAATGCAAAGGGGACCTGGTAGGACTACCTTATTCTTATAAGCTCTGAACCTGCACCATTGCAGTCAGTGGGAATTCCACACTGATTTTCACAAGTACAGAATCAGGGCTTAAAAGTTTTGCCCAAATGAATTGTACATCTGAACATCTTCCTCCTCTGTTTTCTGTCGGCACTTTCCAGATTTTACACAGCATCCACACATTTTAGGATTTCCCTGACATGTCAGTTTTCTTATATCTTTGCACTGTGACACTTCACACTGAGCCTTTCTTTTCTCTTTTGCCCACTTTCTTGCATGCTTTCCCAACCTCAACCCAGTCTCCCTCTGGTAATAATGGGAGCATCTCTCCACCACCGCAATTGTATTCTAAATCAAATCACCAGCAATTACTACCATCACCCAAACATCACTTGCAGGCAGACTATACCGTGGCAAAAACTTACCACAGTCCCATTCATCTGAGCTGTCACTGCAGTCTGCTTGCCCATCACACCAGAGCTCACGTGGCACACATTCATGGTTGGCACACTCAAGTTCACTCTCTTCACAAAATGCTGAAAGGACAAAAACATGTTTCACTTTGAGAAAGAAATGATCAATGTGAAGTTCACACTGAGACCAAAAAAAAGAGAAGGAGGGTGAAGGTAGACACAGATCAGATTTATGGAGCAAGAAAGTGAGACATTTGCAGCAAAATTCAGAGGTATGGACATCACTGAGGCAGAAGGTGGTTGCTGCCATGCAGTGGCAGGGGGCATTGCAACTCAAAGGGAAAAAAGGGTGCCTAGAAATGGCAAAATGTGCGATTACCTACTATCATTTGTGGTCTTGTCATAGGAAACCTGTCTAAGCCTCTCACTAGCTTTAAGTGAAAATATTGTGTTCCATGCTTTTTAGAAGACTCATCCAAATCTGTTAATTTCTCATGTTCTTTGAAAAAATTATATTACTGTAATGCATGCGTATTTTCTTTCATCCACAGCAATTTTATATTCACTTTTGGATCCTCCTTTGCTATTTAAAATCATGGAATGATTTTTATCTCCACTTTAGAGATGGGGAACTGATGTACAAATAGACATGCTCCAGTTCACAATTGGCTGCCAGCTGGCAGTATTATTAGACAGGGATTTCCTGAATCCCCGTCCAGTGCAGGAACCACCAGAGCTTCTATTCGCAAGTGACTTTTAGCTTTTCCCCAACCATAACAAACTCCCTCCCAAAAGGCAGGTGTGTAGCATTACAGTACCCTCCTCACTAACACATTTCTCTTCCAGCTTCTGTAAATCCATCATTAGAGAATTTTGAGAGCTGGGTGAGGGCAAAGAGGGAGAGAATGTGTGGAAAGAAGCTGCATTCAGTTATGCCTATGTCTGGCTCTTGTATAGTATCTATACTGTCACACAAACCAAGCATTTATTTGCAACACTAGTGCAAAAAAACACAAACGTACTCCACAGTGAAAACCATACAGAGAGGGGAGGCAGTGCTGCCTACTCTGACATAAGTGATCTTTCTGCCTCTGAAATAAAGCCTGCAAAAATAGAAAAAGCTCTCTAACTCTGCCTTCCAGAGAGAGCATATTTCAAAAGCTGAAAGCCCTCAGCTGGGGAAACTTTGCTGACATTTTGGAATATTCAAGCCCCGACACAAAAGCAGAGAGAAAATACAGTCTAATAATTATAGACTAGCTCTTGAAGAATCCTCTTGGCATGACCTTAAGGTCTGATCATGGGCAAATCACTTTAATACCACCTTCCTTTTTTTCCAGATTACAGCACACAGACCGCTTGGAAGTCAAATGGGATAACCTTCACAATGAAAAGCACATTAAGAAACGTTCGTGAGCTGCCTCTTCCCAAAAAGAAACAAAGTTAGATCTAGTGATATATGCAGGCTGCCAATCATTTTGGCAAATATATTCATATGCGTCACATAGCACACAAAACGTGCCTCACATCTTGTCCCTGCCCACAGAACTCCAGACACTCAGAAGTATCTTTCTTTAAATTGTAAAACTATATCCTACATTCCCAATAAAAGTGCCGAAATACCGGGATTGCCCAGAGAACTAAAATTTCAGCTTTCAACCAAGTTTACCAAGCATCTCTTCTTTCTTATGCAGGCTGAGTGTCACCCAGTATATCTTTTCTAGTTTCTTGTGTTGGGGACATGCCCACACACCAGGTTTTCTCAAAAGAAGAGAATTCAGAGTACCACTAATATATTCATGAAAGCGAAGCTAACATCTCATGACACTCACTCCCAGCTTCGCATGCGGGGCGGAAGCCTGCAAAGCAGCTGCTGTTCACAGGTCTTCCGTCCCTTCCCATCCCACTAGCCAGCTGTGTAGTGGAAACAGAACAGAGGCAGCTCTCGCAGGGGACCAGGGTGCCTGCTGCACACTGTCAGCACTTTGAGCCAACGTACACTGTGCACATGGACGGTATGCCCATGCTGTCAGCGTACCATACTAAGTTTTGTATCTCTGATACTTATCACAGTTTGGATTGGAGAAGAAGCCTGAGAAGCCAAGTGCGGAGACAGAATCTAAGAAATGTCAAGCAGAAGAGAAATCAAACAAAGCAGGGAGACATATGAAATTTACTGAAGAGCTGATCAGAAGGAAAATCAAGTGGCAGTAAGCAAAAGAGCAGTAAGCATCTATAATTATACAGATTAAAGTTGAGAAAAGTTGGGAAAAGGAGTTAAGAATCTACAAGGGATAAAGAAAAGAAGCACAAAGACAAGAAGCAGGAGGGAGAGAGAGAAAAAAAAAAAAAAGAGAGGATCAGAGTGACCAAGGAGACAGCAAGGATACAAGGATCTGAACATCAGAAGACACATGATGAGGAAAGCGGTAAATTGGTGCCATATAAAAACTGAAAAGGAAAATGAGGGAATGACTAAGACTTTCTGTCTGTAGAAACCCTTTTTACTTTCATTTATTTTGCACCCCAAGATCCCAAAAATGTGATCAGCCCTTTATAGGGCTAACAAACCGCACAAGCGCTTACAGCAGTTCTTTTCATCCATCATGTCAGGGCAGTCTGGGAAACCATCACAGATCATAGTGTGTTTGATGCACAGCTTCTTCAAAGGACACTCCCAAAGACCCCTTTCTCTACAACCTGGAGGCAGAGAACAACAGTTTTGAAACACTTGCACGTAATATCAAATCAACTGTTTCCTTCTTAATAATCCTGAAACACCTAAAATATTTTCACTTGCAAAATAAATTTTAAAAGGTACCAAGAATAGTTACTAATGAAGAAATGGAAATAAGATTGTCACAGTCCAAATTTGATAAATAGCTATAAAACATCTAACACTTCATTACACTTCAGTGCTTTTTAAATAATAACTTGTATTATGCTACACATATCTATAAGTAATTAGCTCAGTTAGCTCAAAACCCATAGACCACTACTCTAGAAACACTTTTACTACTAATATATGGACTTTTCTAATCCTGAAGTCTGTAGAGTTTCCTTTAAAAGCATACCACACAGACCTTTGGTCCTTCAAAAGCAAATCCTATGACAACATGGAAACTCCATGAAACAGTGTAGAAATATGTAATTTTTTTTTCTAGCAGTGCTGATAAAGAATCTAATGCCAATCTAATGAATGGTAGAGAGATGCTGTTAAGTACTGACCGCAAACAGTCTTCCTGGTTCCATAATTTGAGACTAAATCAGCCTCTCTGATTTCAAGAGAAAGACATAAAATTGTGTCAAAGTGCTTTGACAGTAAAATTCCTGTTAATCAGCTAGAGGAAATTAAGAATTCTCTTGTTTTATTTCACTATTTATTTCCATCAACTAGTAAAGCACTTCACTGTGATATCAGTCTAAATACTTTGACATACTAATGTCCTGCGCATCTGATATTCTGATTTTACAGGAACCTGACTAAAACAGATGGTTTGATTGCCTTGTTTGGCCTGTTCTATAGACTATAATACTAGTTTTCATTTTAATCCAAGCTCAAATTCCGGTGACAGTCCTGATGTCCCCACACACAAATAGCTGAGGTATAAACTCAGAAACTGCATTTGAAAGAGCACCTCTGTTTGCCTGGACCTGGAACTACAGCAACATATCAGCAGTAAGTTACTAAGCAGATATGTTGTTTCCAAGAAGTGCTATTTCAGAAGCGAGTATTTTACAAACATGAACCAGAGAACCAATACTAGTTCATACGACTACTGGAAAAAATCTGCTCATGTGGATGTGTGGAGTGCTTGATTTTGTTTAGATTAAAAAAGCCATGTAAATAAATGTTACAGCACAGAGAAATAAATAGCCTTGAACCTGTGAAACTAATGCCACATGATGAAAGAACTTTCTTGGGTGTCATCCTTCTCCAGGTCTCCTTCCTGACAATATTTGTGGTAACTATTAATGAAAAATTACTTGAAACCAAATAAAACCTTTACTCCAATATGAACAAAAAATATCAGTCATATTGGGAACTTCATGTTAAAATAAAATAGAAAAGTTTAAAAAATGTATTTTATGAACTTTGCAATTTTTTTAGCAGTCTTCAGAATTAATTAAATACGTTTGCTTCTTCCCTTCATCACACATTATAGTGTTACACTGTGAAACGTTCCATGACTCTCCAAAATTTATCTTTGCTATACATAAATATAGAGACAATTCCCTAGGAAAAATTCACTACTTACTCATTTCAGTGTTCAAATATACTGTTTTCTTGGTAGAAGCCATCTACCTTTTGGTGTATTTCTATTTTTTCTCTAAATCTTTTTGTGACATATATTTTTAATTTAATGACAATGAAAACTTGTCTGTATTTACATCACCCCTATCTCAAAAATATGTTTTAGCAAAAGAGAAGGATTCACACATCGTCTTACTTTCATTCTTCAAAATATGAAGCAAGTTACCATTTTTTATTCACACATATATTACCCATGCGATACTTATTAAGTCATGAACATTAAGACCACCAAATTTTTCTCTCAACTAAAATACTACAGCCAGAACTCAGACTGCAGAAAATAGTGAAGGACAATACTGGTTTTGAATGTTATATTCTCAATGTCTTTAGTACTCTTCTAGGACCCTGTTTTGCTCTCTGCCAGAGGCATTGTTCAGCAGCCAGTAAATTAATATGACCAATTACAATCAAGCATATTTAATACCACAAACTCTCCTGATGACTATCATATTATAATTTTCAGAAATTACCTTCCTCACACTTCACTGAAATGCAATCAGAAGTCTCACATTCAGAAATCTGGGTCGAATTTTCTCCCCAAATCCTAGTCTAAAGGGCACTAAAGTCTTAGGATTTCACTGCAATTGCATGGGTAATTTTTTCTCTCACAAAGATCACGTGAAAGTATGACAGGGATAGCTAACAGAAGAAAACACTGGGTGCTGAATACAGCTTTACTCTCCATGGGCAGAGTATACCTTGATCCCTTTGGACTGTTATACCTTACATTTTCGGCCAGAGCAAATTGAGCATTCAAAAGCTGTAGCTCATCTTTTCCAGCATCCTCCTCCCTGCACTGTGAAGCTGTTTCAGCCTGTCATTTAATACAATGACAGACAGTACTTCAAATACAAGGTTTTTAAGTTAAATGCTGACTGTTATTTAATGGTATAAAACCAATTTTGAAGGATAAATCTAATAAAATGTGAGCTTAGACATTTACACGTGGAAAGATCATCAAGTTTTGATTTTGTCCTGCACACGTGGAATACGAATGAGTCAGAGACAGTTACTTCTGGAGCTTCACAAGGACTTTGTGTTCTTCAGGAACAGTATTACCCCTGGTCAATGTAATGTCACTCTGACAGCAGTAATTTCCTAGCAGATACAGTCTTCCATATTTATAGAAACTGATAAGAATTCTGCTGATTGCCAATGACATTCTGTCTAGACTACAGAGGCATAAAGAGATCCACTTGAGAAATCAATGTTATATATTAGAGCAATATTTCATATGTTAATGTCTAGCAGAATAAAATTATCCTAAAAGACGCATAGCAATTAGTGTTCTAAGGAGTTAAGAACAGGTGGCAACAAAGAATATTTTTGGCAGGGAGGACAACTGAGACAACTGATTCAAAGGTAAAGAAATTACAACCTCTGAAAGAGTCACTGTGATCATCAGCTCTGCCTTTCCTTTATAATCTAAACAAGAGAATGACCTAGTATTAAACCCAACTTCGGTGAGCCTATCTTTTATTTTTTTTTTTTTCTTTTTGCAGGGAGAGGGCAATAGGGGAGAAAGAGGAGAGAGAATACAAGTGTGATTTGAAAACTCCCAAAGATTGAGAATACATTGCACCTTAGTGATAAATAACCCCTTGGTTACTTCAGTCATTAAAACAACCTGTGCTTAAAAAAAGAAGCATTTTATAGAGCTGTCAAGTGTGATTTTTAGCCTAGCTTCAGCTTTCAGGTGCTGGATCTTACTTTATTTTTGTGCAGCTGAGTAGAAAGACTTTTATTTCCACAGTTCTGTCACTCACATAAACTGTGCTTCCATCTTAACCTGCTCTCTGTTAAGAAAACCAGGTTGTGCACCTTAGCCCTACTCTGCTGGAAAGTCTTCCAGTCTTTACTCATATTCACACCTCTTCTCTAAAACCTTAGTGATTTATAATTATTCTCTTTGCCCCTAAGGATGCCAGGCCAGAATGCAGAACTCCATGAGGCTACACCTTAGTCACATAAAGAAATAGTATAAACTCCCTTCTCCTTCTCAAAATTCTCCTGCCAGTACATACAAGAATAAATAGCGACCAAGAGAGTTGTTGGTTATTCTCAAGCCCAATATGTCCCCTTAAGTTAAAAGGCAAGAGCATCTCTACCATAACTAAACTCAGAAATATACTGGGGAATAAACCTGGTGGTTACTTTATCCTTGTACCCACAGCTTGAGGTTGTTTAATCTGAAAAAACGTGTAATCCTTGATCCTTGCAGTACAGAATCCTGTTCAGAAACAGATCTTTTGTCAATACATCATAATGAGAACATTACCATGTATAAATTCAAAACTATATTTATGAATTAAAGACTTAAACTGCCAGGAAGTCATGTTTTAGCTCAGTAGAAAACCTCCAGAAATATCAAGACTCAAGTCTGCAGCACTTTTTATCTTCATTACTAAAGGAATATTCAAACATCTTGGAATATGGTAAGCAGAATCAAAATGATCAAATACCATAAATTGTGTTGACACTAATCAAGAAGGATGCCTGCTAAAGTATTTTCAATGCCACTAGTATTAAACAAAAAACCCCAAAACCTTCCAAACGTATTTTTCACATAGAAAAAGGGGCTTCTCCTCTGAACCGTCATGCTATGGTTCAAATAACTGAAAAAAACCCAAAACTCATATTCTAATACTTCAACTACTTTCCATTCAAAAGATCTAACTCAAATTTATTTACCACAGCTGTCCTCATCACTGTCATCCTCACAGTCAGCCTGACCATCACATCTTCTGGATGCCAGGACACACCTCCCAGAACGGCACTTGAAGTGACTGGGTGAGCATTCTGTCAATGACAAGGAACAGGGAGAAAAAAGACTCCACAAGCTGCAAGCTTAATCATCATAAGGGTACTTACTTATTTATCACTGTGACTGCTACAGAAGGGTAAATGACAGGAATACAAAGCTTGTGCAATACTAAACTAAGACTTAACAATTGCACTGTGAATGGGGTGGAGCAACTATTTTCCAGAGCTCTCCCTCACATGCTACCTCCATCAAATTTCAAAGCTTTGCCAAATAACTGGCATACAATGTTTGGATTGTGGGCATGGCTTTTCTAGCTAATTTTCTCACTGTTGTCATGTGGTGTGAAGCAGAAATAGATCACCTGATGTGCTGAAATATGTATGAGACACCCCCAGGATAAAAAAAAAAAAAAAATTTGGCAATTGAGTGGCTATTGGAATTAATAAAACCATGCAGAAATGTCCACTAATTAACCTTTATATCATTTCTGCCTCATCTTACAGAGTACCATTTTGAGAAAGCTTTATTTAGACAGTTTTGAAAAACCCTCCCATTTTTTCACATTGTACATGTCACTGACTTCAATGTACAACCTCCATCATATGTTGCTTTTTATTTTCCTTCCCGCAAAATCTCTCAGATATTTAATACCATGCAGTTCCATGGGTAAATTTTAGGATTCAAGAAACAGTTGTACCAAAAATATTATCAATGAACTTGGGAGCCTTAGAAAATAACTTTCTAATTATAAAAGGCATGTGAACCATAGTGCCAGCATTTAAGAATAACTCATTACGAAAATAACTAAGCTTACAGTGCATACTGGCTTGGCCAGCAGTATTCTTGGATTCAGCACTCATTGGAAGAGAAGTTAAGCAATCCAGCACATTGTAATAACTCTGTCAATTATAGAAGTTAGAAAATCACTTATATTTTGTAATTATAAATATTTTAAATGCTCTCAGAAGCCTAATTTATTTTGCTACATGTGGGGGTTTTTTTCAGATGTATTTATATAAGATTTTAAACTTCCCAGGGAAGACTTTCTAATGAACACTGGAGTCAGTAGAAATCAGGCATTCAATCAACATAAAATTCTAACAGTAAGTGAACCCAAAACAACCCTGACAAGACCCCTTAATTAGTTACACTTTTTCTAGAAGAATACTAAAAATCCCTCCTTTATCACTGTTTTTCCAGGAATATCTATTTCAACGCTAAGATGATCAATAAACTTTGAATCAGCTTACTAGGCAAAGTCCCTCTAATTAAAGTGAGACTTTTTTACATTATAATTTTTATAAATGAACATAATATCTCTAGAAATGGAACACACTAGTCATGTATGCAGTAGTATATTTAAAATATGACCATTCTAAGTTATATCTCAAAGCCAAATGATCTAATAACACAGGGAGGAACGTTAAAAGACATTTGATACCTGAGAATATTAAATCACGTTGTTTTTTCTTTAACTTACCTTGTTGTGCCAAAATCTTACTTTTCCTTTCCTACACACTGCTGTGTAAAAATGGATAAATTCTTTCCATCAGCCCACTGCTGTAGAGGGGAATTATCTCCTTGTCTCTCAAGAGTCCCACAACAGAAGATTTCATTGCTATGGTATTACATGTCTTTATAAAATCCTCACAGTGATACATGTGCACATGGACTTTGCTTGAAGAAATAGTACTAACTGTTATATAGGCTTCACTGTTTTTTCATGATTCCTTCACTATATTCCCAGCAATACATCTTCACTAAAAGAACTATAGACTAACTAGCTTTCGCCCATTGTTTTCTCTGAGCAAGATCAAGGCTGTGGAAAGACTGTCACAACCATGTAGGCGAGTAGGAGAAGAGTGAGAACTGAACATGCTCAGCACATTGCAGGCACTGTAGCACACACCATCTCACTATTTTCCCAGCTACATTACTGGTGTTTTGGCAAGAAAAAGAAAAGACATGTCAGAATCTCCACAGATCCCACATCCAATGACCACTGCAGAACGAAAAGCTGCATAGCTTCTCCCTTCATACATACAAAGAATATCTAGAAGCATTTAAGGCAATTTCGTTCTTTTGTTCCATGTTCACACCCACAATGATTAGTATTGTGGCTGAACTCAAAAACTGAAATTTGACAGTTGCTACTGAAGCTGGTTTGGCACAACTCTACAAAACCTTCCCCAAACAAAAACCAAGAGCAAACAATAGCTGGCAAAGACACTAGCATTACAGTATTTTTCTCAGAGATGTCATGGGGCTCAGCTTTTTTAAGACTGCCAAGAGTCTGCCTCCTGGCTAGAAAAGCATTATTGTATCGTCTAAATAGGTAAAAAAATGAAGTATCAGCACAAGCAAGCAGCAGGTGTGGTGTTAGCAACAAATTTCAAGCACTGACTTTCATAGACTGAGGGTAATCGATCCTTCCTTCGGACAGATTTCTCTTATCTGCAAACAGTTGGTATCCAAATTCCATGAAACCCAGTTTAGAAGCATTTCCACAGTTTAAATATTATAATTCAAAGAGAAAGTATGGGGGGAGAAAAACAGTCAGTGACTTTGGGAACCTAATTAAAACTTTAATTTCCTATGAATATTAATTATAGGAGTTACCTTCTACTTCTTCATCTGGTGTTAGACAAGTTTGGTTGTCCAAGTTCTCATCTGGAAACTGAGTGCAGTCAGTATCTTCTGGCCACTGCAGACCTACAATCCCAAGCACAGACTCACAGCGTTCCTTAGACTGTACACATAAAGTTCTGAGGAGACAAAGTGGAATTGCACAAAGTAACTGAGTGAAAGTCTTCAAAATGCCCAGTTGTTGAAAGTTAATAATCCTAGCCAAAGTTAAAGATGAAGATCAAGGAAAAACTATTTAACCAGGTTTCTTTACATAAAAAAAATACATATCAAAAGTAAGGTTTCTACCATTGAACCACTATTTTAAGTTACTGTATGCAGACTACTATCTGAGTTATAAGATAATAGCCACATATAAGTACTTAAAAACATCCTCTCCTCTGTAAGGATGGCAAAGAACCTTTTTTAAGAAGGACTAACTGCACTCCTTCAGCGAAAAAAAGCCAAATACATTTTGTACCAGTGAAATGCTATCTCTTCTGCTGATGCTACCTCAGAAATCATGTGGTTTCAAAAGCACGAAATATTTAAACCTGCAAACAAAGAGCAAAGAACTCCCCAGAGAATTCAATAAAATTAAAAGTTTGGGGAAAATCAAAGCACAGATCAGACTAGTCTTGAGGGTGTTGTCAGGTAGAGCAACAGAAGCTTGTATCGCACCTGGAAAAAGGCATAAATATATAGTCCTCCTGCTGCATTGCGCTTTTTTTTTTTTTAACCCTAGAAAAACAGGACTCACCACACAACATCAGTTCAGTCCATCTAGATCAATATCCTGTCTCTCAAAATATCCAATGCCAAATGCTTCAAATGTACAAACAGCAAATGCATAGTAGGAAAATCCCCTATTATTTTAAGCATTATTTTAAACATTTAGCAACTACTTTTGCCTGGAATGATAGCTGATGTGCCGTTCTATAGTCTTGTCTTGGATCAGTGGTATTTTGAATCTCTGTTGGTTTCAACTGTCTTTTTTTGGGGGGGTGGAATATTAATTAGGCAGTATGGGATTAGGAACCTCAACATCCTTTTCACCTCTTCCTCCAAACAGAAACATGCATCATGCTCAACAGGTATGTGTCTAAGCTGTGCTTAAAAACTCTCCAGTTAGCAAGATTTCATATACCTCCTTATCACTCATTCTCATACACAGATATCTATTATTTCCCTTATATTTGATGTATAGCACTCCTGATGTACTTCAAATCCATTGCTTCCTGGTTTAACCTCAGTGAATAACTTATTTTCTCATGTAAGCTCTTTTTTACCTATTGGAAGGCTCTGATGTCTCCCAAAGTCTTCTCTTGTTTCTAGACTCAGCAACTCATTTAATTGCTCCTTTTATATCATGTTTTCTAAACCTATGATCATTTGGAATTTCTCCCTCCACTTCAAAAAAAAATAATCTCTTTTGTTCTTATTGGTTGAAAAATATTCAACAGTAGGATCCCCCCCGTTTCTATCTTTTTCAGTTTCCTTCATGCACTTTTACCTTGCATTTTATTTAATCTTATTATTTTTTCCAGATCTTTCTTCTAGGAACAGACACTCCTTTCGTCTCTGTTTATTCCATTCATTTTCCTTTGATCTTTTGACCAATGGATCATTTTTTTTCCTGCAATAAGCTTAAAGAAATGCAGTGACCAAAACCAGGCAAACAGATCCACTTAGGATCAATTATTTTATGCCTTTTCTTTTTTTTTGAGAAAACAATACTTTATTAATCTTCTCAAAATTAATTTTGTTTTGGGGGATTGAATGAAGAGGAGTCAATGTTTTCCCACACCAAATGATTCACCATCAAGTTGAGCAGTTGGAAGGAATGGATTGACATCATTTAACCATGCTACAGTTACAGACTCTCTCTTTCCTTTTCGGTCTTCCTCAACATCAAAAGGGTTGACTCACAACACTTTACAATCTCAGCTTTCTGGATGCCAGCATTTTTATCTACCAAGGAAAAAATCCCATAACCAACAACAATAATACAATGAATGCATTTTAAAAAGTTTATTTTGTTAGCTGAGGCATCTAAGCCATTTCTATCCTGTGTTCTCTGCACACTCAAATCTTTGGCCAAAGGCGAACTTTTCAAAAAGCTATTGCAAGCCATTTAGTTGTCAGTCTGCGGTGAAAGAATTAAAATGTAGATAAACTTCAAAGTAGTGCCCATCAAAGAGCATATGGAAGCCTATTGCAATCCTGCTAGGAAAATTGGAAGAGCAACTGCTGCCTTTTTTTTTTTTTCCTCTCTCTCCTCACATTCCCATATTGAATCTTACAGTTGGGGTATCAGAATACCTTGGTAACAGACTTCTTTATTTACTTCTCAGTCAAATCTCATCTGTGGTACTATCTATGAATCAATACAACAAGTTAACAGTTAACAAGGGTGCACATCACAAAGCAGCAAAATCTCCCCCTTCTTGGTAGGAGAAAGAAATACAAGATTAAATAAAAATAAAAATCAAAAAAAGATGTAGCATAGAAAAGTGTAGTTTTCTGCAATGGAATTCAATCTAATATTTAAAAAACTTTTAAGTATACTTAGCATCCCTTAACTCTCCCAATTCAAATACAGTAATGGGATGCCTGAATTGATGCCAACACATAAAGGGCATGAGACTTGACTTGACCAGGATTATTCTTGACACAGATCTGTCATAGTTTTGAAACAACACCAAAGTCAGCTGGAGACTACTTAAATACACAGATAGCATAATCTCCATTTCATTGTAGACTGATCTGACTAGGAAGGCGTTTACTGTTCCCAAAATAAGGGACATTGATAGTCTTACTGGTATGTTGTGAGACCCAGAATCTCCAGAAGCTGCTCAGCACCTTGCAGAACCAATTCTTAGTAAAGATAGTTTGTAATTATAAGGAAGCAGGAATTTCTGAGCTTATTCCATATGTTCTTCGTCTATGAAACTCCATTTGCCCTCAGTGGGAACCCAGCACACACTTAAATTCAAAGATTTTTTCACCAGACTTGGCCTAATATTACCTAATGCTTTATTAGAGATGAAGAATACTGTTCAGAATTTGAAAACATACTTGATAGATCAATGAATAGCCTCAATAATAGCAAGTACAGTTCTTTCAAAAAACCTCTTCACCTGTGTTCCTTAGAACAGAACTTCATGAAGACAGTTACTGTTAAAAAATAAAGCATGACAGCCAAACTAATAACAAAAAGACAATGAAAAGCCTTGCAAAGCAGGGACAGATGTTTTATAAAGAGGAAGTAGAATTAAAATTGTTTGGTTATACCACCTAGAATGAAAAGAACAGATCAGTGTGCTGGTATTAAAAAATCTAATACGTGTCTGGGAAGTACATTTTATAAGTGCAGAATTATAACATGAATTTGCAATTCAGGGTCAGAAAGTGTACTTTGACGTGAAAAACTTAACACTGAAAAAAGGCATTAGCTGAACTCCATTTCACATTTACATGAAAAGAGAGGTAAAACAATACATATGTCATGTTAAGCTCAACTAATCACTGATATCTTTGAACAAGAGCACAGTTATTTTGCAAAGGCAGCAGCAGATTCTCAGAATAAAGTTTCTGTGCTCGGAACATAACATTCCGCCTTGTAGGAGCTTCAAACTGTAGTTAAGTAGATTTATATTTACATTGATGTATCAAATGTATTTAATTTTTTTTCTGCTACATTTCTCAATTAACTCAAGGGTTTACTGGTATGAGGCTACAAGTGTTTTCATTTCTAAAATATTTTTACATTTTTACGTTATATCTGTGTCTGAAATTCTTCCTAAAACATTATTGTAAAGCAAATACCACAGATCTCAGTGGGACTTTCCAAGGGATCCCTTCCTGATAAAAATCACTCTCTACTTGTGATCTAACATAAGAGCAAATCCTGAAAACAGTTATAAAGTACAGCTTTGAATCTTAGGACTTTAAATTTTATGTTGTATATTCAATCTCATCTAAACATGATGTTACCCTGCTTTGAGTAGGAAATTAGACCAGATGAATTCCAGAGGTCCCCTTCAAATTAAATTATACTACGGTTTCTACAAGTTCCTCTTCATCTGTTTAATACCTTAAATTCGAAGATTATTCAACTGTATTATGATACTTCTTAAAATCTGCTAGTTAGATACGTAGTTGCCGAAGCAAAGAGGCTATAATTTAACTTTTGTCCCTTGACACTAGAATAAGTTAGCTCAATTTTTATTTATTATACTGCTTTCTCAAAAAAAAAAAAAGAAAAAAAAGGAAAACAAGAAAAAAAGACTCAATTGTCAAACAAGCAAGCCTGAAACAGAGCTTGCACAAACCACTAACTTCACAGCAACCCCATATGCAATACTCAAACTTTCCTGTTAGGTCTGTATGTGAGAATTATGCAATATTTTAGTAAATTTCCCTGTGACTCACTTTTAACCTGCACTAAGAAGCACATCAGTAGACAAAGAAGCATTATCTATTTGTCAACAATGTCATGTGGCAGGAAATCTTAGGACATGTATTTCAATTTTCAATGCACTTTTCTCCAATACAGTAGATGTTAATCGATCAATACTGTCAGGGTAGGCCCAATAAGAGAGACAGAAATACAGCATGAGAAGGCTCCAGCAGTCACTAGCTCAAAGAGCTCTACCTGCTGATCAGGTTTATTAGCTCTCCTAACCCGCATCAACTGCTGCTACCAAAGCCATAATATTTACAGAACATAGTCTCTTTTGAACAGATACAGGCATAACCCTGAGAAGTACAGTGATATTAAACTGTTGAGGATGGTAGAAAAGTTAATCTGACAAGTAGAAAGCCTAAGTTAGTCTGTAATTCAGAATGATATGTCACTCCTCTAATTTAGAAAGGTAAGCATGCATTAAAATCTCAGTTTTTCTTAACAGTATTTGGCTAGGGCTTTGCATAGATAAAGTGATATACCAACACAAAGAACTATTACAAACATTAATGTTCCAAATTTAATTGATTCTATAATTGCTGCAATTCTAATCAAACACACAGAAATGGAAAATGCTTCATACAAAGCTCACAGCATCCTTCTGGACAAGTTATTCAACTGTGGGGTGAGGATGTTCATGTTGCACTGGGTGAAGCACTGGCTGAAGGGCAGAGCTCAAAGGGTTGTAGTGAATGGGGTGACATCCAGCTGGCGACCAGTCACCAGTGATGTTCCCCAGGGTTCAATTCTAGGGCCAGTCCTGTTCAATGTATTATCAACAATCTGGATGCAGGAATTGAATGCACCTTTAGTAAGTTTGCTGAAGATACCAGACTGGGAGGTGCTGTTGACTCTCTGGAGGGACAAGAGGCCTGGCAGAGAGATCTAGATAGATTGGAGCACTGGGCTATGATTAACGGGGTGAAATTTAACAAGTCCAAATGCCAGATCTTGCACCTAGGATGGAGTAATTCCAGGCACAAGTATAAACTGGGAGAGGAGTAGCTGGAGAGGAGCCCTACAGAAAGGGATCTGGGGGTGCTGGTCAACAGTAGGCTCAATAAGAAGCAGCAGTGTGCCCTGGGAGCCAAGAGGGCAAACCACACCCTGGGATGCATCAAATACAGCACAACCAGGTAGTCAAAAGAGGGGATTATCCTGCTGTATCCCACATTGGTGTGGCCTCACCTGGAGTACCGTGTGCAGTTCCAGGCCTCACAATTTAAGAAGGATGTGAAGGTCCTTGAACGCCCTCCAGGGGAGGGCAACAAAGCTGGCAAAAGGGCTGGAAGGAATGTCCTATGAGGAGCAGCTAAGGACTTTGGGCTTGTTTAGGTTGGAGAAAAGAAGGCTCTCTACAACTTCCTGAGGAGGAGACATGAAGAGGGAGGTGCTGATCTCTTCTCCCTGGTATTCAGTGATAGGATGCATGGGAATGGTTCAAAGCTGCACCAGGGGAGGTTTAGACTGGACGTTAGGAAGCATTTCTTTACAAGGAGGGTGGTCAAACTCTGGAACAGGCTTTCTTGAGAGGTGGTCGATGCCCCAAGCCTGTCAGTATTTAAGAGGCATTGGGACAACGCCCTTAACACCATACGCTAACTTGGTCAGCTGTCAGACTAGGTGATCACTGTAGGTCTCTTCCAACTGAAACAGTCTATTCTATTCAGTATATAAATTTTGAAAATTATTGAACTACTATTCCTCTCCTTGTTTTGATTACTTCAGATACTAATCACATACATGTAACAAACTGCATTTAACAATCTTATAAGATATGGTTTTCTGCCTTTTGCTATGGAATCTCAAAGCAAGATTTCTGGCAATTTCAATGGAAACAGAAAATTGGGAAAGGCTAAAATGACAGACAATGTCAGTAAATAATTAAATGAAGTATAGCATAGTACCTGCAAGGTGGGATCCGCTGATTTGTATGGGGGTCACATTTTGGCACTAGGATTGTACAGGCAAAAAACATAAGGTACTTGTAACAGTTGGTCTGAACCAAGGCTGGGAAAAGAGAAGACTCCCAGCTGATAGAGGCTTCCTTCTGTGTCCTGTGGCCAAGGTAGTTTGGGTAATAAGTATAGTTGTAAGGCAAGTTCATACAGAGTTCCAGAGTAATTGGTTCACACTGACCTTTCACAGAAAGAAAACAAAAAAAGAAAGACAAATGGTGTGGGATTAACTGAAATACAGAAGAAATAATTACATAAGTATTTAACAAATTTATCAGTCAGGGGATTTCTTCTCAGACCTAAGCAACTAGAAGTTTCAGAGCTCAAGACTCCATATAAGCCTATTCATACCAGTAAAGAAAGGTGGGTTTGACCTCCACCTATATAATAATCTATTCAGAGACTTATATTCCCTTACCAATATGCATTAACTTCCCGAGTAACATCTTGACTTTAACATGGTACAATAAACCATTCTTTAAAAACAGATTTATTCTTTTCAAATCAAGTTTCTGACGATTTTCAAGAGCTCCTGTACTGTACAGCAACACACTTCCTACTGGTGTACTATGCTACCGTAACACACCTCATACTGGCAGGGCAATTGTCAAAAGGAGGACAACTGGGATCATAGGATACTTTGGGTTGGAAAGGATCTCAGGAGGTCTCTAGTCCAACATCCTGCTCAAAGCTTGGTCCGCTCCGAGGACTGACCAGGTTTCTCAAGGCTTAGTTCAGTCGGGTCTTGAAAAATCTCTAATGACAGAGACTGCACAACTTCTCTGTATAGAAAACAGAAGGCAGGATTTTTTTATTTTATTTTACTTTTTGTATCCCAAGATTTGAAGGAAGAATGGGGAAAATTAGATTATGTGTTGCACAGACACTGAGTAAGAGACAGTCTACACACTAATAATTGAATTCAGATAAACATAATTGATAATAAAGAGAATAATAAATAAGAGCAAAATAAATGCAACAGCTACAAGTCCATATTTACACAGGCTATAGCTATAGACAAAAATCATCCAGCTTCTAGGGGGTTTATCACAACACATATTGAACTGACCAAGTATTTTGGATTTAAAAAATTGTACAGCTTTTATATTTCTTCCCAAATTGGTAGTCAGAAGTATTTATTTTTCAATTTTCCACGACAAAAGAAAACAACAGTTTCACTTACATTCAGACTGAAATTCAGTTTTTTTATTTAGCACTGAGACCAATGTGAAATTATTTAGTTTTACCTACTTTTGAAATATGAGAAAGTTTTCCATGAAAAAGTGTACTGTTCAGAAGTCATTTGTTATCAAAACACTTGCATATCAGGAGGCTGGAGCACCTCCCCTGTGAGGACAGGCTGAGAGAGTTGGGTTTGTTCAGCCTGGACAACAGAAGGCTCTAGGGGGACCTTCTAGCGGCCTTCCAGTACTTCAAAGGAGCCTACAGGAAAGGTGGGGAGGAACTCTTTCTCAGGGAGGGTAGTGATAGGACGAGGGGTAACAGTTTCAAACAGAAAGAGGGGAGATTTCTTCACTGTGAGGGTGGTGAGACACCGGAATATGTTGCCCAGAGAAGCTGTGTCTGTCTCCGCCCTGGAAGTGTCAAAGGCCAAGTTGGATGGGGCTTTGAGCAACCTGGTTTAGTGGAAGGTGTCCTTGCCCATGGCAAAGGGGTTGGAACTAGATGGTCTTTAAGGTCCCCTCCAACCCAAACCATTCTATCATTCTATGATTCTGGAACCAAATGTATCTTAACACAACTAATGCTCTCCACCAGCCAGTTACTAGTGTGTTGCCAGCACAGTGTGGCAACTGTGTGATCCTATAGCTGGATCTTTGCGAGGAAGTTGAAAGAAGATCCAACAGTCAATTATCCAGCTGATCAGCAGAGCAGGTCAGTCTTTCTTGGACAGGCATTCCCTGTTATAAGCTCTTTTAGTATTTACCTCTAATCTGAGGATCACAAAGAACATTTTACCTATAGCTTTTCTGCTCTGCAAAATCCCTGCATACTGCCAATACTGAACTATTACTGTTGGCTCAAATCACTTAGTCCCAGGGGCATACGAGGTTCAAAGACTTCAACAATCCTCCTCACATTTCCTTTTCCTCATAATGAACTCTCCCTTGTCCTCCCACACTTCAGCCCCAGGTGCCCAGATTACTTTGGTTTTGTCTTTTGATTTTTCCCCAGTAAACATCATCTTGATGTGTACAGAGTATTACATGTTCATCAGTATTTCACAATGAAACCCAAGTAAATGAACGCACAAATATGTAGAATGTTATGTTTGTATAACAACTATTCAACACTAAAGGGTAGAAAAGCACATATATAATTTTCTTTTATTATGCCTCATATTTATAGGGGTTTAGGTGAATTCCAGAAGAAAATCTAGTCCACTGAAATGCCCCATAGGATAGCTCTTCACATGCTTTCAATACGATTACAGTTTTCACACTGCGTTTAGAAAACTTCTGTCACATTATATGCAAAAACGTCGTAGGTTGGAACAGAATAAATTTGACTCTCACACCAAATTCCCTACAATCCACAAGCAGAGTAATGAACAGAAAATACATTCCAGGGGAACATCTGACTGAATTAAAGTAACCCAAAATGTTAATCTTTCCTTCCTACGTCTGTCCTACAGTTTAAGAGATCTTACTGCTCCCTTGTTTATAGCATATGTACGTACAACCTAATAAGTGGGGAACAAGGAATTAAATTCATTGCATTTTTATCCTAAAAAATCCACAAAACCAAAAAAAACCAAACCAAAACAAAAAACCCCAACCAACAAAACAAAAGCCACAAACAGATTACGCCTGGGTTTAATATCTTCATGTATGTTATGAACTTGCTCTACCTACTATACAGGAATTAGTTCCAACATTGTAACAGAAGTGAATGGGATATTTCACAGAATCACAGAAAGGTTGAGGTTGAAAGGGACCTCTGGTCCAACCCCCTTGGTCAAGCAGGGCCACCTAGAGCAGGTTGTGCACAACCATGCCCAGACAGCTTCTGTCTGTCTCCAAGGATGAAGTCTCCACAACCCTTCTGGCCAACCTGTGTTCAGCCACCCTCACAGTAAAAAAAGTGTTTTCTGGTGTTCAGAGGGAGCCTCCTGTGTTTCAGTTTGTGCCCACTGCCTCTGGTCCTGTCACTGAGCACCAAAACATCTCCGTCTTCTTTACACTCTTCTTTCAGATATTTAGCCTATGTATGTTGTAATTGCATTATAATGCCAACCTAAACTGATCAGACATTATCACACATGGAGAACGTCATATTCAATATTGCTAAGTGTGGCCTATGCTTTGGAATTTTCCAATCAAAGAGTTATTTGGGCCAGAAGATACTGCATTGTCAAAACTGAAATCTTCCACAGGAATTTTCATCTCTTACCAAAGACAAAGTAACTCTGGTCAAAATAGGAACAGTGAAAACAACATAAAAAAAAAGACAGACAATAGTTTTTCCAGATGTTATGCAAGAAAAATCTCTCCCAAATTGTCTTGCTGTTCCATTGTGTATAAACAATTAAATATTCACTGGACCAGAAAGGGAGAAAGAGAGATGATCCAGAAGTCTAATTCAGATTATGTGTTACTCCTGTTGAGAATTATAGACTGTTTTCCATAATATGATGAGGAAACAGCTTCACTAAAAAGCTTTTGGGTTTCTCATGACATAGAATAGGAACACTGATTTAGAACTCAAATATCACGTCAAAAAATGTTTTTCACTCAACATAGTCCTAGCCACTCAACCATTTTCCAAAATTGCTGTCCATACATACAATGGGCTACAAAACTTTGCGTTGATCAGGAAAATATTTTGGACTACAGGACAAACTGCTTTGGACCACAGAAAGTCTCATACTGATTTATCTACAAGGAAGATGAGTCCAAGAAAAGTACACTTTCGGCTCTCTCTTATTGTAAGAAAGACCGAATTGCAGTCACATTGCTTGAAAGACTGTTGCCTTTTACAGGACTGTAGTTGCTGTTTATGAAAGGGAATTTGCTTAAGAGAGAACTGCTCCCTGAGTATATAAGACCCAGAGGCTACTGTGGGAATTTACGTAGTTTTTGTTGGGTAAGGCTGATGATGATGCCTTGTTTGCCTGCCAAACAGATGACCTGTCTTATGCATGACTGGTGACTATACAGCCATCAGCTGTGAGTCCCGTGTTGGTCCTGTCACGATATATCAGATACATTCCATGTGTTCTTTACTAAGCAGTTTAAGTTATAAGTACTTAAAAATAAATAAAATTACAAAATACTATCTTTTTTTGACCTGAGTAGAAGTAAAGTTGCTACAGTTTTAAAAATACAAACCAGGGTTTAGTGTAATGCCTGTTGAGTTTTGGAAGCATTATGAATAAAGAAGCTTTGAAACAGCAGATAGAAATATGGAAGCCCCCGTTCCTGGGTAAACCGCAGTTTTGTGGCAAAGTCAGTAACGCTTAAAGAAAAAAGCTGAATCTTCAAATGAAGAAACTGAGAAGTAACACCAGTTCTTAGAGACACAGGCTGCTAAAGCTGCTGCTTCTCTTGCAGGCAGAGAAATCTAGGACTAAACACCCTTCACTCCCATGAGCCTCCAGCCCACAGAGAATCGATCTTATCACACACATTTAAACTTGTGACTAGCTAGAGTAGAGTTCTTCAAGTCTGTAATTATATCTCAATCAATACTCATGTATTCTGACCTTAAAACATCAGGAAAATGTGACCTTCAAATCTCAAGGCAAGAAAAGATTACTTGGAGAACTGTTTTCTTTGGAGATGCC